AGTTACAAAATTAAAATTTACAGCTTAAGCATGTAACTTAAGATTAATACCACATTCAAATTGCAGTTTCAGGGCATTTTTTGTACTGGGATGGGTGGGATTGCTTGGATTGAAGTCAGCAGCTGCACAGACTGGTGGTAAATGGTAGTTCTTAAAGTTCTGTCTCAGATCAAAAGTGTCTAAATGTGCACTTTACTCCACAGTTAACAGTGTTCACATATATACCCTTGGGCCTGGGCCCTGAAAACGCCACAGAAGGAGTTATTTTACTGTCTTTCTCACACTTAACTCTTGGGGTAAGTGGTCTTATAGTTAAGAGGAATCTTTGAAGCCCCCTCTAGCTGGTGCCTCTCAATGAAACAAGGCAGCCTCTGTGCAAAAGGGCTACCACTTGGTACAGTATTGTCACGTCCAGCTTGCTGAATATTATTTCAGGGGATCAAGGCCTGTTTAGAGCATGTTTTGTGTCATAGTGGAATGCTTTTGATTAATCATTAATATGTTCATGTATAATGAACTCTTCAGCTTCCAGAGGAGGACAAAAATGTCCAAAAGTATCCAGGCAGCCCATATAATTAGTGAATTCAGCAGAGACCATTGCCGACACAAGGGTTATGTTGCACACATAGCTTGTATAATCACTTTAAGAGAGCATTGACCAATAGAATGGAGCCCTGGAGCAGCTGCACATGTGCCTAAGGTCACCTTGATCAGTGCCAAGCGTGGGCTAGAGGGTTATAAAGTCTCTGAGCACTGGGCTGTGGAGTGACTCAGAACTGATCGTCCAACATCAGTACCTAACCTCACTAATGCTCAATCAAATCCTCACAGCAATGTGCCAACATCTAGTGTAAAGCCTTCCCAAAAGAGTGGAGGCTGTTACTGCAGCAAAGGAGGACAAATTCACTGTTTATACCCTTTATTTCAGAAGAAACACTGGTGTCTACAAACTTTTGGACATACAGTGTAGCACCAGTCTTTGATATTGTGCAAATCTTGGTGAAGGTACTTTGTAAAGCTTACTAGGGTCTAGTTTTTCTGGTTTTGAATGCAGGATTCCTGTTGACAATGACTTCATTTCTCAAGCGGTCATAATCTGACCGAAAAACTGGACCTTTGAAATGTCGTGCCAGTTAAGCTTACACATTACACTTATCCTGTATGGGCTAGTTTCCCTGACCAAAACCTAATCCTAAATCTTTACTAATAAGGATTTTTAGTGGTGAGTCACCACTGACATTACAGTTGTCCAACAATAGGCTTAATCCATGTCCAGGAAGCCAGCACTGTGTCAGTGGGGGTTCATCCTTTTTAGTCTAGGACTTCAAAACAACTCAATCACTTGCTTTGTTTTGCTTCGTGCATCACATTACTTGTAATATAATATTGCAACAAAATTACAGCCTAGCTTTTTAAATACTACTAGTGCTTATAGCTGTGGTCAACTATTATACTGCACTTTAAATCACCCACCACTACCTCACTAGACATTTTGGGATTTCTCAGTTCTCACTTTAAGAATTTCTTCTGTCATCGCTGATGTCCTCAGAGTATCGTCTGAGAAATTATTGGCAGGGATGCACAATTATATTGTAATTCAGTGTTTCCCCATTCGTAGCCCCTCCCAAGTATAATGATGGCCATTTTAACAGTATATGGTTTCCATTGTTCACAGTTCACAACAAGAAGATAATTTATATAATTATAAATAAACAAAACACACTGATGTCATTGGTGCAAAGCAAGGCCCTTTTTTTCCTGTGGTCATTTCCACAACCTAAACCATAACATTTTCAAAGAAACCTTTGTTCATCAGATTTCTATTGTTACAATAATGCTAATTTCCACTAGCACCTCTATGGGATTTCCAGTGTTACTCCATTGCTTATTCGATGTCTTATTTGAATACCCAAAGAAGTAATTAGATGACATGAGATTTTGAAATTACCTCTCCAACCCTAAGCCCACCCACCCACCTACCTAATGATTGCCCCCACCTTCCAATCCCACCACCCCAACACACAAAATATTGGATGTCGGCTTACAATTTGCTGTTGTCGGAACAAAACCTCATATCTCCATTTTTGATGTTTTTCAGTTTTTGATGCAATTTGAAAATACCTGTTACCCTTTACATTGTGTGTAAATTTCATGAAGAATGGCCTAAAAGAAACAACTCAGAGTCTGGTTCCATTGACTTACATTAAAAGTAATGTAAGTTTTTTCCTTCTCCTGTAAAGTTACCATTTTGGAGAGGTTTTGTTCCGACAACAGTGAATTCCTGTATTAGTTCATTGCTATTTATTATAATTCAGTGTATTTACCTTTTAACATGAATGCGTTGGATGTCAGTGTGAGTTCTGCAAATTTAATTTTATAGTGACGTAGTCTAAAGCTTTCAGTGGTTTAATTCGGTCTTAGCTATAGACAGTCTTGTCCTATAAAGCTGAGGATTATGTACAATTTTAATAGAAATTTAATTGAAGTGTGTATATACTGTGTATAATGCCTCACTTTAGGGCTTAAAGGGGTTTGAAAGGGAGTGATAGCAGAAGTTTCATTATTTATGGAGATGCAGAAGTTAGACAGGGTGTTGCTGCTGGGAGTTAGGAGGGATTCCCGAGGAGAAATGCCACAGTCTACTGTATATTTAGTTCAAATGACAGACTTGATTCTGTATTTGCTGTATATAGATCAGAGACTATAGAAAGTATGTGTTTGTATGTGGGTGGGTATGAGTGATTGCCAACATGTGTCTCGTGTGGTTTTGGAAGAAGAGGAGGACTCTGTGCCCTTTTGCATATACATAGACTTATAGCTTGATAAATACAGAATAACATGAAATATTCATATTTTGTTCATATATATGTTTATATATTGTGTTTGGAAGTTCAGTAGGGCTGTCCAAAAATCTAATCATGATATATTTTTTCAGATAACTAAAGTAGTTCTCAGTAATTATGATATGAATTTCCTGTTGCAGAATAATATTTTAATATATTAATGAACGTACAAGTGCTGAGTGCTGCTATCCTGTAGTAAAAGAACATCTTACAAACCTGAAATAGCATCTTTGGAACAGCCTCTTAAAATGACAACAAAAGAAAGCCATAGAAAGTATTGTAGAGGGTAAGCAGACAGAAAACAAAGGAAACATACTATTTGTTCTTTTAAAACAACCTGAAGCAAATTACACAGGTAACCAAGCTGGTGCTATCTGTCAAAAACGCTGAAGCTGAAAATCTGAGTTCAGCTCATGAAGGCCTTACTAATTAGCTGATTAGCTGAATCAGGTGGGTTTCATGAGGCAGAACGCTAAACTCAAGGCTGTGGCCTGGAAGTAACCTAGATTGACACCTGTTAATGTACCATAACTGGTATATCTGTATAAATGATATATTTCCCACAATTATTTTGAACACTGAAGAAAGCAAAATGCATGTATTGTGGGGAAAAAAGGCTACACTCTTAAAAAAGATGGTTCTTTAAGGGTTCCTTAGTAAAGAAAATGGTTCTATATAGAACCGTGAACACTCAAAGAACCCTTTGCACAATTATAGGGTTCTTTGCATCATGGAAGTGTTCTCTAGATTGATGTAGAATGTGCTTTACATGGTTCTAGCGCCCAAAAGGTTGTTCTATTGTGTCGATGTCAAGCTTGTAACAATACAAGAACTCTTTGGGTGCTATATAGAACCCTTTTTAAAAAAAGTTCTATATAGGACCATCTATAGCACATTCTCCAGCAATCTGAAGAACGCTTTCAGGATGCAAAGAACTGTTTAATCATGAAAAGGACTCTTTGAGTGTTCATGGACCTATAAAGAACCATTTTCTTTACTAAAGAACCCTTGAAGAACCCCCTTTTTAAGAGTGTACATTTGAAGCTCCTCTCGTTCTGACACTAACACTAGCTCACTCTGCTAACTGTGCTGTGCTGTAGTGAGTGAACGGATAGACTTCTTTCCATTTAGCGAGTAAAGGATGCACAGCACCATCTGTACTGAAGTTTTAACCATAAGAATTACAGATACAGTCTTAGATGCTTTGCTGAAGGCCTATTTAATCTGTTTTTTTTTTTCAATAATTTCAGTCTTTTTATCTTTCTGGAAAGGTGCAGTCCGAAAATGGTCAAAAATGGTCCTTTGGCCAAGTTTTTTGAGTGGTGCATCCTTAATTAACACTATTGTTTTATTGCTGAGAGCTACTGAATATATATATAGGCTGATATACAGCTGTAAGCAAAAGTTTGGGTGCCCCTGGTCAAATTAATGTTTTGTTGATGTTCTGTGTGAAAATTAAGTGAACACATCCTCTACAGAGAACACACAACAGCACATTTAATACACAAATACTGTTTATTTGCTGAATTTAACATATTGAAAAAAATAAAACATAAAATGTGGCCTGTGCAAAAGCTACAGCACATTATATTTTGTGCATATTAATAGAAATTGTGCAATAAAACGTGTAGAAAATGTTCAGATGTAAGTGTGCTCTCTGTAGAGGACGTGTTAACTTATAATCACTTAGTAAATCAACAAACCTTGTAATTTAACCAGGGGAGCTCAAACTTTTGCATATGACTGTAAGGTAGTGGATGGTTTCTTCTCCTCAGAGCCTTCAGTTCCTCTCCATTTCGACCGACTGCATTGATTTTATATTTATTATTGGCATATGTGAACGGCCATTGCTTGGATGAAAGTGTACTGCTGTATCTGGACACTGCTGACCCGTTAAGAGTGGTCTGTAAATGCAGCAACTCGTTTCTTTCACCACATTGAAATATTTGAAAACTTTCACCATAATAAAATACTGGTTACTGTCTGCCTGAAGCGTTTAGACTATGGGTAAAAGTGCATAAATTGTAAATGCACATAACTCTGTGCTGAGGAGTGTGTGCTTGAACATGTGACTAAAGAACAAATGCCATTTATTGTGTCACACATGTTTTTTCCTCCCTTTTTGCTGTAAGGAGCTCTCCACAATCTCCTAGTAGAAAGGCCTCTATTGTTTGGCTGAAAGGCAGGCGTGGAAGAGCTATTCCAGCTTTACAGAGAACGGGGACAGTGATTCCTATGTGTGATGCGCCTGTTTAAAAGGTCAGGATGAGATTTGATGTCCTTTATTTACTGAATTTTGAATAATCCTTTGCATTTGTCAAGTTGTACAGAAAATACTGATAGTTCAGGGCCGTCAAGAGGCCTTTCTGAGTATGTGAAGAAGTACAGTTCCACTTTGTCTGCTACACTCTTTAAAAAAAGATGGTTCTTCAAGGGTTCTTTAGAAAGTGGTTCTATATAGAACCATGAACACTCAAAGAACCATTTACATGCTTAAATGGTTCTTTACATGGTGAAATGGTTCATTAGGTTGATAGAGTATGTGTTGTGTATGGTTCTGTATAGAACTATTTTTAAAAAATACACAACCTGTTCTCTCTCAATCTAAAGAACAATTTAGGCATGCAAATGGTTCTTTGAGTGTTCATGGTTCTGTATAGACCCATTGTCTTTACTAAACAACCCTTGAAGATCCATCTTTTTTGAGTGTGTGCTGGCACTCAGGGGAAGTAACTTAAGTAATTGTTAGAGCTGTAACGATTCACAAAATTCATCATTTGATTCTATAACAATTTTGATACAGCAAACATAAAGAGTGGCTGAGAGTGTTTATATGTATTTTTTCCATTTTCATTTTATCAGACCATTCAGCATTTCTAAAAGTACAATATTTGAAATATTTGAAAGTCCCAGTCGCTCTAGCTACAAGCAAATATGCTGATCATGATACAACGATACTCTGTGATATGCTGAGATTCCATGATACATTGTTTTATTGTTATATTCTGAGTAATTGTTTGTAATAACTTTGTTAATATGTTATTTTAAAAGATTTGTACTGAACTGGAGCAATGTTGAAATATTTTTACTGTTACTCAATCACATTCCCAACAAAAACATACTTTTTACACATTACATTTTCATTTAGAACCTCATGGATGGTTTTCCTGGACACAGATGAAGCCTAGTCTTAAACTGTATTACATTGTCACTGGCAAATCACCATTGGAAATTCTTAGTCCAGGCCTAGGCCCAGTCTGTGTAGTACTCCAAAATCTTTCTCTTGTCAATCGGTCAAGTTCTAACCCATTTATATTTATATTTTTTTCACATCTGCCAACTCTGAAACCTTGCATATTTTTATGTATTGATTGTTTTATATTGACATTATTATATATGCAGCTGCTGTTGTCACATGACCTACTTTGTCTTCCTTTGTGTTATGTTGTGTTATAAGCAATTCTGTCTGGATTTGTCACAGAATCTAATTTGTTCCTTCTTTCCCCTCTGATATCCAATCCAGTATTTATGCTGATGTCAGCCCAGTACTGATACTGGTTTTTGGTTCAATGCCTTCCCCTTAGACATGAATTGATGGTGTTAATGGGCAGTTTAGTCTTGATTTCTGTGAAATATCAGAAACTATTGTGGCACTGTTGTGGGCACTAATGTGGCCTTCAGCTGTTTATCAGAGTTTTTAGTTTTGCATGAAAAGACTTGATTGTTGGGTTATGATCATGGTTGTACTTTAAAAGGGAAAATTAGATTGTTATAGTAATAAAACTCAACAGAAACTCTGAAAAATCAGATACTTAATATTGAAAATAATTTTCATAATGCACTTACTTACAGAATAGAAATCTAATATTATCTCATTGTGCTTCCCTTCACACCAGCAAGTTAGAAATCTTTTAGTGTTAGGACTAAAGGAATGTGTAAAAGTTTCTTTCCATATACATAATACACATTCACTGTTTTGCCATTATATTTTTTGCAATCTTATCTGTTGTTAAAACCACAGTTCTTCCAGATGGGCGGTTTCTAGTGAGACCTGGAGCGCCAGCTGGCCTCTTTGACTCCGCTTATGTAATGAATTTAAGTGAGGTTTGAAAGATTACACCCAAATGTTCCACAGTTTCCCAAGTTGCTGACCTTGTTATGAGAACATCCTCCCATAAACCTGCCATTTATGCTCATGATATGTGGATAGTGATCAGGTTACTGCTCACAAAGGAGAGAGGCTGTTGGGTGAGGCCTTTTTATTTTTATCAAAACCTTTGAGAACCACTGATTCAGAAGATAATAACGGAACAGTTTAACAAACAAATTTCCCCTCATCCCAAAAGCATTCGATTAGTCGAGACACATTTGGTGTCTGAGGTTTGTTTCTCTAGTTTTACACTGGTGCTGTGATGCTAATGTAGCTAGTAGATAAGTCATGAAAACTAATGTCTCACCTATTAGCTTTGTGAAAACTGCTAACCTAAATCACAAACTCTGTCTTAAACTGTGTGGAGCTGTTAAGTAATGTTAAAGATACTTAGTGAAGTGGTTTCTGACACTTTGATTCTTTTCATGCTGTTTCTTGCTGTTACTGCTTGTCACTTTTCTTCATGTAATTCTTCTGCTAATATGTTTTCATGACAAATTTGCATATCATTGAAATGAAGTTCAGGAAATTCCCAACTTTTTTCTCTCACCGCCTTCTTCAGTACAGTGCTGCTCCCACAATCCCCTGAGCAGGAGTCCTCTACAAAACAGATGCTAAGCTTGTCTCTCACAATCATGTCCACTGCTGAGGAGATTATTAGTTTAATCATCCCTCAAAAGAGCTCAGAGCCCTGAGATTAATAACTGATGCTTACATTATCAGTCTACTCAGTCTTTAGCAGAGCTCAGTAACACTGAGATCAATAACTGATCACATTGATTTATCAGTCTACTCAGGCTAGGGCTGGGCGATAAAACGATAACGATAAGTATCGCGATATAACTTTTCCTCGATAGAACGATAAGACAGGTTCGATAAATGTTCGATATAATACACCTCTCTCACACTTGCACGTTTTAGCGAAAGCCCTGGTGGCGCTTTCTACTGCAAGGAAAGCGACACTACTCTGCTGTCGCCAGGAGAGGGCGCACTTCCGAATTTTTCGACTTGATTAGAGAGGGAGGGGGCCACGAGTAAAAAAGGGTCGCCAAATATACTTTAGCGACGGCTGAAACGCGGAGTTATACAGTCCCTGTTTGAGCGGAGCGACCGGCGATCTGTTCTCCTGGGACCGAGTGTGAGTGACGAGGTCAGTGGTGTAACTGTACTGACCTACAGCGAACTCACCTCTTTCCATGCATCCTAACAATTTTAGCAGTGTTAAATCACGTCTACAGCGCCGTGTTACAGCGCCAAACCGTCATATTTTAGTATTAGTGCATTCTCGAGCAACGAAAGTGAAAGAAAGAAGTGGTTCATGTTCGACAGTAAACTGAGGAAGCTGTGAGGCATTGGAGAGTGGGAGAGCGCTGTCTTTCCAGGCTAGCTGTTTTTAGCTGCTGGCTAACTTGAAGCAGCGCTCCGGCAAAACACGGTGAATTGATGATACGGTAGATCAAACAAGACACAAAATCACCGCTTTTAGTTTAAACATACCTAAAAGGAGGACTCTGTGACTGGTGCGAGAGATTCACACTGCAGATAATGCTTTTACACAGCGAGCGTCAGATATACTGCGGTTCACCCCTTAAACTACTACGGTAGCATAGAGAAACCCAGTCGTCGCCAGCTGGTGTCTGAATACTGTGATCTGCTCTGACATGGATGTGGTAGGAGTGACAGCAGTGACCTACCGAACCGAGTCGACGATGTTGAGAAACTAAAGAGTTTAGCGCTGTTGTTGGCCACTTGTTTAGCATTTGTAACGGGATAGCCGAGCGCTCGAAACCAGACAGCTAAAAATAATCTGTTTTCTTTCTTAAATCATGACTATTACAAAAATTGCAGCTGTGCTTTTCCAGCTGATAAAAACAGCTCAGAAACTTTCTCCCACTGTGCCAAGACAGATTAGTGAAATGTTCCACTGTTTGCCGAGTGTTTGTCATGATCGGACCATAAGTGATAGTTTAAAACCACAGTTAACCACCCAGGAGTAAAATCAGCCTTAAAACGTGAAAGAAATAATGATTTGACATTTATCGCGATATGTATCGATATCGAACGATATGATTTTGTTTATCGTGATAACGTTTTTGGCCATATCGCCCAGCTCTAACTCAGGCTTTAGCAGAGCACAGTAACACAGATTAATAACTGATCATGTTGATTTATCGGTCTACTCAGGCTTCATTTTTATAACTTTCATACTAACTATATATTTTAGTTAAAAGCTGTTAGTTTCCTGTAGACTTGTGTGGTGGAATCGAGACAGTGTGAATCCCAGCTGCTGCTGCTGATGTCATAACACCCTTGAAGCTAATTGGCTGAGCTTGTTTAAAGTGCTTCTGCTGCACTCTGCTCTTCTTCGTCTTTCCTTCCTTTTTTTCTTTCTCTCATTTTCTTTTTTTCTCTCTTTTGTTTCTTTTTCTTGGATCCTTTCTTCCTTCCGATCTTTTTCTTTCTTGTTTTTCTTTTTTCTTCCTTCCTGTTTACTGTTTTTTTTTCTTTCTTTCTCTCCGTCTTTCCTTGCTTTTTCTTTTCTTTGTTCCTTTCTTCCTTATATCTGTCCTTCCTTTTTTGTTGCCTTTTCCTTGATTCTTTCCTTCTTTTCTTCCTTCCTTTCTTTTTCCTTCTTCCATTCTTTTCCTCCTACTTTTTCTTTTCTTTTCATTACTTTTTTCTTTTTCTTCTTTCCTTTCTTCTTCTTCTGTTCTTTTTTTTATTCTTTTTTATTCTTTTTCTTCTGTCCTTTCTTGCTTCATTCCTTCTGTCCTTCCTTTTTTGTCTCTTTTCTTATGTCCTTCCTTCCTTTCTTTTTCTTTATTCCTTTCTTGCTTTCTTGCTTTCACATTTTACTTCATTTGAATTCCGTAACTCATTCCTTACAAATATTATTCCATTTTTATATTAGGAAATGCAAATCAAATTAATTGACTTGCATCTTAATTATTAGTAAAACTGTCACATTTTACGTCCCTTTTAAATCTTAACAGGCGGTTTAACTGATCACACTGTACCTGCACGCGTCCCCCAGCTAACGCAGCTGCTTTTCGGCCTTGCACTTGGCACGATGCTAATTGATGTTCCATTAAATGTTAGCGACTTTAGC